CCCCCCGGTTGTCGCTATTTGTTCCCCCGTGACTGGGCACCACTTCGAAAACGACGACACAGACGATAGACGGCGTCCCCTCTGCGTCGTACATTTCCTTCATCGGCCACGGGCTAGGCGGAGTCTACGCGAGGTGAGGAAATGCCAGGACAAATGCGTGCCGTAATAGACAGCACACCTCACAGGGGAGTTTGATGGGCCTTCCTCAAACGCTCGTTGCAGATTGTGGCGAAAATCAACAAACAGCGCATCCCAGTAAATGTAAGGGGAGCGGCAGGCAGCAGCTTTATACCGTAAGGCCTTCAACCGTGCAAGAACCACACCCCACCCCACTCCCTTCACAAGCGCGGCCCACAACACGCCTCGAATGTCGTTAGGTACGCCCTTCGGCTGCTGAACGATGCGGGAGTGTTCTCGGATCGGCTCTCGGGGATGCACTTCATCACACTAGGCACGCCGCATTTAGGATCCCTCTTGGTGAGATCCCCCCTCCTACCCTCCCCCCCCCCCCCCCCCCCCCCCCCCCCCCCCCCCCCCCCCNAGGATGCAGCGCACCCTTCATGCGACTCGCCGAATATCTCACGGTGCTTCGCGCTCGGTGATGTGAGAGCCTGGTCCGGTGAGAACCCGGCGTGCTCCGTCCCGGCTTTGTAGGGATGCGAGGTCAATGGTCTAACGACTACGGCATGCACGACTATGAGGTACCCCCCCCCCGGCTATGTAAGGATGCGGGGTCAATGGTCTAACGACTACGGCATGCACGGTTATGAGTACCGCCCCCCCTTTTTGTTGTGTCAGTTGATCGATTTTTGTTTTTTGAGGCGATCGAGGTGTGCGTTCTAGCTCCCCCTCCCCCTCTAGGTTAAGTTTTATATGCTATCAGAAACAGTACAAGAGTCATTTCTATCCTTGCATCAAGAGTCAATGGTAATCAGCGATTAATCGCAGCATATTTCATACCATCCACAGCCTACCTGTGTTTGTACTTCTGCTTGTCCTCGAGCAATATTCCTTTAGTTTTTGGCCATACCCTTCATTGACCGCCCCTAGCTACCGCTGTTGTAATACGCTTTGATCGATCGTCGCGCACTTGACTTCAAGATATCCTACCTCAGGGTAGTCAACTGCCGTGCAGCGTCGTTTCTTTGTTTTTCTCCCTTTCGCATGAGGCGGGGCCAAAGTACTGCATGCATGTTGCCATTTTGTCTCACGCTTTCCTCTCTCCCCTGTCTTGTTTTTGGGGACACATGGATCTTCTGCCCCATGCTCCCCCCCTCCCTACACACTCACGCCATTCGCAGATGCATATGCAAGAAAGCGCGTCTTGGTCGTATTTGACCCTTCACCTTTGTCCCCCCCCCCCCCCCCCC